TTTTCTCGACCACTGAATGTAAACAAGTTACAAGAATATATATCAAAAATTCAATGGTTGGAGGAAAGCTTTCAACTCACACATAGACACAGTGAAGTCCCCCGCTGAATGCCATAGCTTTTTGAACGGGAACATATCGATGGCTGAGTGGAAGATCGACCTATCTCGGCAGCCAGTTCGAAAACAACCCTATCTCAGAAAATTTTTGAAAACGCTCTATCTCAGAAAACTTTTCGAGAACGCCCTACTTCAGAATTTGATTGAAAAACGCCCTATCTTGGAATTTAGTTGAAGAACGCCCTATCTCAGCTGCCGATTCAAAATCCTGAGATTGGGCGATTATTTTCAATGTATTTTCGTTTGAGATAGGGCGCTTTTGAACCGAATTTTGAGATAGTGAGTTATTCAACCAAATTCTGAGATAGGGTGTTTTTCAATAAAATTCTGAAATAGGGCGTTTTTCAATAAATTTCTACAGTTGGGCGTTCTTGAAAAGCTTTCTGACATAGGGCGTTTTTGAACTGGCTGCCTACGTAGAATTCTGCTCATATATATGGTTGCGGGGTACACCGGAAAATTGATGGTAAGTGCAAAGCTGACGAACTGACAGGGAAAGGTAGGACCACCCAAAACCTTCCAGGAAAGGACACGGTTGATATGCTTAGCAATAGCCATTTTCAAGCAGTTTGTTAAAGATCACACCATTATAGTAGTCTGGGACCGCTGCAACAACCTGGTATTTTAATAAAAGGAAAGGCCACGGGCCACTTACTAATGTGGTATCCGAACCAATATAGGCCTATTTGACATGTAAGACCGTATCGAAAAGTTACCAAATTGAAAAAATTAATTACCAAATTACCAAACTTGATAAATAAAGAAAAAAACACCAATTTTGGTTAAAAATTACCAAAGCGGAAATGCTGGCCGTAGTTATTATTCTTTCCTTCGTAGAAAGAGGTAATGCATTCGTACGACACGAATAAATTTCTGTCTAAATTTAATGTAATAGTTGCCTAAGTCTTAATCATGTCCCGAGGATTTGGGGAATATCCACTTGTATCTTAAAGTCTATCGGCCACTTCGTCACTTTTTTTTACATAGATGAAAAGCATTAGAACTACTAATCGATTCGTAAAGGATAGGTGTTTATCTTGGCTAAAGTTACAAAATTAGAACGCCCCAAAGAAGTATAGATCTACAGATACAGCTCTTAATAGTGTGGTGTGACTTATATAAAATTTTCCACGTCTACGTACTCTCCGTAATGGCTGTCAGGCTCGATGCATGTAAAGCAGAGGTGGGCAACTTCGACAGAGAATTTTTGTAGTGTGCGTGCGAACAAGCGGTGCGGTTGAATGAAGCTTTCGCTGCCTTCTAAAGCAGAGCTTGTATGTATACGCGAATATGCCCGCCGGCCAGGCGCCGCCCAGGGCTGATCTCTGGGCGGTAAAAATAGAAATAAATTAAAATCAATCGAAAGACGCTGGCGGTAAAAATGCTGCTGCGGCAATTATGTGCCATTTCATATGTCTCCGTGAGTTTTGATTTTGTCAGGGGTTAACGGTCGACCGCTTTACCGTCGTCCGCTGCAATTTTGAGTAGAGCTTTACCTGTTTTTTTTTTTTGTAAACGAGCGACAAAAGAACGCTCAACTCGGGTAAAATTTCCTTTTAGCTACTTAAGCAACCCTGCCGGTAGCTGCCAAGAAACATGTGATAAGTAAAACAGGATTTATGAAGACACAAAAAACAATAGATATGAGTAATTGTGCGTGGTATTTGCATAATATATATACTTATTTAAAATACAATGAAGTCTGCTTTCAAAAAAAGTAAATAATTTAAAATCTGATATTGCTTTATGAATAATGGCATAAAAACAGCCTTGTTCCGCAATAATTTGTGATGTTTTAATTTTTTTTGTTTGGAACACCTTAATGCACATTACTTATCGAATGTATCATTCCGTATTTTAAATAAAACTCAATTTGTTTCATATTCTTATTTAATTGTAATTCTATTTAGTTTAAAATTTTTATCTGGAAATAATGTACATAGTCGATTAAAACGATTTACAAAATAGATTCATATGTATTTTGTTGAATTACTTACGGGCATACGCTCAATAAATAGGTCATAACTGTTATATTGATTACAAAATTAAATGTATATCTTAAAGGTATTTTTAGTTATATATTTCTAATTGTATTTAATATATAATTGATTCTCAAAAATAAGCAAGTTTTGCCCTTATTTTCAACTAATAATTATATAATATTTTTTAAGTTATTACTACTACTAAAGTTAGTAAAAATACACAATAAAGCTTAAGTTTAACTTAAAATTATTCTTAACTATTTAGTGTTGTAATTCTAAATTGCTACAGTTGAGGTGTATAAAAATGTCTTAAGTGGAAAAGTTTAACTTCGATTGCTTCAAATAGTGATTTTTAATGGATATGACTGATTCGAAAAGTGTTTGCAAGAATACCTGTTACTTAGTTTTGCATATATTTAGTAAATTTAATCATTTCTGGACGTACTTGTAACAAACTAGGGCTGTTCACGATCTTGTGCATGCGCTCTTGCATTTGCATATTCGTTGCATTTGTAAATTCACAACAATAAAATGCACACGGTTGCCATGGCAGTAAGCATAAAAATTGCAAATGTATTTCCAACTGCAAATCCAAGATCATTTCCTCAACATCCTGAATAGTCCTATAGTGTTTCTTTATAATGGATCTTCAACTACAAAATAATGCAGATAGAATACATGAAACCAGTAGATAACTTAAACAGCTGATTATTTACATACATATGGATGCACATGTTTTGGGTCTGGATATCAACTCACCCAATTCGACTGGACTTGTGAGATACAGCTTTGGCTACATATTTATGTATGTATTTGAACTTTTTGTAACGTATTTATAGAGTGCTTAAGGTAATTTTGTTCTAAAAGTCGTAAAGAAATATTTTTAGACATTTATTTGAAGGTAGTATATTTACTTGCATACATACACTACATATCGATGGCTGAGTGGAAGATCGACCTATCTCGGCAGCCGATTCAAAAACGCCCTATCTCAGAAAACTTTTCAAGAACGCCCTACTTCAGAATTTTATTGAAAAACAACCTATTCCAGAATTTCATTGAAAAACATTCTATCTCAGAATTTTGTTGAAGAACGCCCTATCTCAAAATTCGGTTCCAAAACGCCCTATCTCAAACGAAAATACGTTGAAAATAAGCTGAGATAGGGCGATTTTGAATCGGCAGCTGAGATAGGGCGTTCTTCAACTAAATTCCAAGATAGGGCGTTTTTCAATCAAATTCTGAAGTAGGGCGTTCTCGAAAAGTTTTCTGAGATAGAACTATGTTGAAAAATTTTCTGAGATAGGGTGTTTTCGAACTGGCTACCAAGATAGGTCGATCTTCCACTCAGCCATCGATATGTACATACACTAATACAAGATAACTGTCAGGCGGATGGGTAATTAATTCCACACTCAAGTCTAGAAAATAATTGTTTCTGTATTCGATTCTCATATATTTACATATACATAAATTTCATCATATCGTCGTTTAAAGTACAAAACCGCGTATGAAGAAAATGCAAAACCGCGTATGTGAGGTTGCATAATTTATTTTCTAGAGAGTAAAAAGATTCATATTTCAAAATGGTTCTTTTTTTTATATAGTGATCGCATTTCTGGTTAGTATATTTCAGGACGAATGGAAAAGGATTAAGCCAAGAGTTTGAAAGAGCAAATCCAATTTTCGGCAGCCAATGTCAGTTACGCGGTTTTGCAGAATGACTATACGCGGTTTTTAACTTTAAACGACGATATGTATCTATATGCAACTTATATTGCAACCGGTTTCTTTATTACATAAATTTATTTAAGATTCATTAGTTTTGTTTTCGTCAAAAAAAATAAAAAATAAAACGCTTTGATACCCGCCGTCGCCGTGTCACTGTATGCCTGGAAGCAATGGTATTAAGCTTTAATGACTGATGCCTCTTTTTACTTTTGAATTTTGTTGTACTTTTTGTTTTGTTTGCTTTTGTTTGATGCCGCCTTACAGCAGCAACTGCCTCGTTTTGCCGTCGGCTTTTGTAGTCCACTTCTTTGCCTCAAGATGCTCTGACAAGACTTTAATGGCTCCTGAGGCTGCCCAAATGCACTGCGTGTTACCCCCCATTTTACACCAGCGCATCACGAAATGATGCAGTTCTTGTCCTTATCGCTCATATCGCCCGGCTTGCGCTTTCGATCGTAAGCAAGCGCATCATTGGGCACATAGCTTACACGCACACCGCCATAGTGTCGCCGCTGCGGCAGTTGATACATCATCATGTAGTCTTCGGAGGAGGATGAGGATGACGAACATGTTGAGCAAACGCTTGAGGCATCGTCCGATTCATCGTCACCGCAATGTGCGCCATGTTGTGCAGCTATCGTGCTCCCGCCAACTTGCGATTCTGAAGCGGATTGCAGCACTGAAGGTGGACTTTGATAGGACGAGGATAGCGGCTGCGCAGTTACATAAGTGTCAGCGCGCGTTGTTGAGTGTGAACGATAGCCGCTGTTGCGATGACTTGATGATTTGCGACGACGTTTCCGTCGCGATGTATGGCCGCTGCTGCTGGACGAACGTTCGGCGCTGCCACCGGCGCTGTCTTTGTGCCTGCTACCATCACCGCCACCACCGCAGCCACCAGCACCGGTGCCCGCGCCATTGCCAGAATAGCTACGTGAACGCGAAAGCGTATCTGCTGGTATGCCCTCGAAGCGCACACCTTTCTTCTTCACCTCACCGCTGCCGGTTGCGCCGCTCATAGGCGACGAAGAAGATGCGCCACTAAGTATGGATACTGGGTGCGCGGGCGCTTGACCAGATTGCATGGACTGCGGCGAGGTAATTGAGCGCTCGCCGCCAGATGCAGTAGGTGATCCCATCAATTCGGGTGGCAACGCGGTAGAGGCGACCGACAAGTTGGGTGTGGGTAGCTCAGCGATATCGGAATTTAACGGAGAAGTGATCACTTCGCTGTAGTCTTGTGCAAATTGCTGCGAGGAGGTATGAGCGCCCAAATGTGGACCTATCGGGGGTTGGCGGCCTGTCAGCTCGGGCATGCTAGAGGCCATGGAACTCTCCATTTTCGAAACATGCTGCATATGACGCGGCAGATTGTATGTGTGTGAGCCACTATGCGGCGGTTTGGCAGGCCAAGCGGCATCCAAGTTTAGCGCCATCTCATTGAAGTTGTAGGCCGCCTCCGATTTAAGTTCCATTGGTTTGGGCATCAAATGAGTGTATTCGCCTGGTGATAGCAGTGGCGATAGATTCTGCGATGAAGTAGATGGTGCGCCACCAGAAAAGTCGGTAAAGTCTCCAGTGCCGCGACTACCGGCTGCGCGCTCCATATCCTTGACTACGCCGCCATCCGAGTCTGAAGTTTGGTAACTCTGTTTGGTTGCCTCCATAAGCGTCATATCGGCTGCGGCGCTCATTCCTGCCGCACTCATGCCTGCTGGCATACTCTCGAGCCCACCTATTTCTCCGCCAACCCTCCCAGGACTGCTATCACTAACACTGCCGCCAGCGGCATCGCCACTTCCACCTATCCCCGCCGCTATTTGCTGACTCTGCAACTGATACATTGCTTGACTAAAGCTCTGTTGGTGTTGTTGTTGCTGCATCGGCGACATTGGCGGCGAACTTGATGCGTGACTGCTGGGAATGTGCGTATGTGGGCGCACTCGCTGAGTTGGTGGCGTCGGTGTGGTGTACATGCCAGTGCCTGAGCTGTCCGACGGTGTGGGCGGCTCACCTTTGCTGCATGCAATCGAACAGTAGATGGAACCACGACGTGGCAAAAATGCGCGCCCCAAAAGCGAACAGCGGCAAGTATTGCAGGAGAAACACTCGTCCGTCGCGTGCCAATGCTGGCCATCGTGACTCATTTGCCCCTGATCCACGCCGATGGACTCGCCGCAGTAGTCACAGTATTCAGCGAACATGGCGTCGAAGCAGAGCAGACAATAGGGTTTGCCCTCGCGCATTATGTACCGTTGACCACCAAGCTGCTTCTCGCACTCCTGGCACGCGAAGTGGTTCATATGCCAAGCACGTCCTTCCGCTTCGGTGCATTCATCAGCTAGGATTATCTGCGAAGGAGAGAGAATGGAAGATAGAAATGATAAATAAATTTAAAAGTTGAAAAGTAAGCGTTAAGCAGACGTAATGTAGACGTTAAGGCAGACACAAAGGATAAGCTAAAGCGATGGAGGAAGCTGGTAGTGTGTGGTGCGAAAACTTTGGGTGAAAGTTTTATTAGAAATACTTGTTTTGTAGAGTGGAGTTCGGAAAATCTCTTAGCAGGATTGTACTATTGCACGGAGACTTGGATGTGTGCATTCAGAGTAACGCAGAGCAGAGTGGTTAGTTAAAAATTAGCGAAGGTGTTTGCTCTTGGTTGCTCTTTGTTGAGATTTTGATTCACACGCTTCGAGTGAGTTTGCAAAAGTTTTACGTCTTGCGGTTTTACACGTGGAAACGGATTTCAAAAGGAGCGTGTTTTGCGGTGAATAGCAGAAATTGCAGCTGATAAAAAGTTAAGACGCCTAAAAATGAAAGGTATTAAACTTATTTATTTAATTATTTACTGTAGTGTGAATTCATAAGTACTTACAAAATACTAAAGTATTTGTTCGGATTTTCTTGAAAACAGAATCTTTAAAATTTGATGAATTAATTATTATCCAAGTTTATAATATTAGGCAACAAGGCGCCTTGTAAGGGGAAGAAGTTACTTTATTTATCAAGATATGAACCACCACTTTTCTACATAAAGTACTGCTTTGTATTAAAGTTGGGTTGCGATTGGAAAAGCAATAACAGTTTATATTGGGCGAGCTTAGACCAGTGGGTAGACCACAAGCTTTATATACCAATCTAGGTGTGGTAGAGCAGCTATAACTTCTACCAAATTTAATTCTTGCTATTTTTCATCATCATTTCAAAATATAAAGTAATAATTTTCACCAGTACCTTACTGATAAGATAAAAAAGCAATTACAACTTAAGTTAATACCATATAGATTTTCCTAAAAATTAAAACTTCTTATTTATAAGCTAAGAGCTTTTACTCGTTTATAGCGGCCTAGACGAGACACTGATGCTTATCTGCTCAAAGAGAAAAGGCAAACAAATACGAGAGGATCAATCAAATAAAGTGGTATAAGATGAAGACGTAAAAAGCTTCGATGGACTGCTTATGTATATTCCGCTGGAGTGTATCGAATCCAGAACCTCGAACCATGTTCCAATTTTGATGAAAAGAGTAAATATAATGAATCGTTCCCTACTATAGGGATCTATAAAGTCCCTAGCCGTTTCAAAGAAAAAAGATGCCGCTTAAAGAGCAACGTTGCGATTGAGCGAAAAGAAAACGAGAATAGTGCGGCTCGGCCGGATTGATCGTGCCGAACAAAGGGGATGGAAAAACAAGGTAGAGAAGGACTTGACTTTTCTTGGCCTCCCAGTTGGCGTCAGTTGCCACTGTAGAAAAGCGATTGGCGTGTTTTATTGGACTCGGCCTAAACTATATAACTGGTTAAAGCATAAAAGAGGAAGAATCGGAAAAATTTAATTCCAACAAGCCTTAGGAATATTTAGTATGGCTGATATACTTAGTAAAAGTAATGGCGAAAAAATTTATAGATTTTATTGTCAAAAAATACGTATATATATTTTTAAGTTTAATTTAATTTTTAGAAACTTATTTTATTTTTCATTTGTAGATTTTACATTTTTTCATTTCTTTTGATTGCTAAGAACAAATATTTTTATTGATTTTTTCATTTTTACTTAATTTTTGTTTTAATTTTTGGACTTTATTGTTTTAAAAAGAAAAATATGTGTTTTAAATTTTTCAATTTTTTTTCAATTTTTCGGAACTTATTTAATTTTGCCATTCGGTTTTAATAATTTCGTTTTTATTTAATTTCTTTATAATTTTAACTATTTTATTTTAAAAACATAACGCTTTTTATTTACTTTTTTAGAACTTATTCAGTTTAATTCTTTTTTATTAAAAACAAATAAAAGAAAACATATTTAGAATCTTATCATTTTTTAATTTTATTGTTTTAAACGAAAACATTTTTTATATATCATGTAATTGAATTTTTAATTTAATTTTCTTTAAAAAGAAAAATACCAATTTTTATTTAATTTAAGTTTAGAACATACTTAGGTACATATCGTTATCTTAATTCACAAAGGCCCTAACCAGAGAATTTTTTATTTTACAGGAGAAGCAAAAAACATTATAAAAATCAAATCATGCATACGGATAGGCCATTTTAAAAACTCCGTTGTTTTTGGCACTAAGACTTTAAAATTTTTAATGAAAGTTTATTTTAATATATCCTACAGAAATCTGTGAAAACGCAGTTTTGAAAAAAGTGTTGGTTAGGGCCTTTGTGAATTAAGGTAACGAAATGTAAAAGAGCAAAATACTTAGTTGCCAAAATTGACAAATGTCTTACGTAAAACTTTTGTATTTCGAAAGACTGTGATGGGTTAAAGAAAGTTGGCAGAATTGCCCTGTATGTATATCTCTTAATTTTCCATTGATAACATTCGTTACATGAAGTATTTATGCATTTGTAACATCGCCCAGTTCATTTTGGGAAACTTTAAATTTACAAAATTAAAAGCAATATTTTTTTAATAAACAAATCTGTTTTCGAACATATTTAAATGTGTACATATATGTATATATATACAATAAATTGTGATTTTGTTGGACTGAAAATAATACATTTCATATTGCTACTTTCTCTTTTTGCTTGCTACCTTCGTTCTGCATTGATAAAATAAATCTTTGAAATATGTATTGTCCGCTCATTTCATCAACTTACCTCATCACAGGCGGAGCAGCGCGGCTTCAATGTCTCCGCATGATGACGTCCACAGTACAGTCGGCCATCGCGATGAAAGTAAATGAGATCGACTAGCAGCTCATGGCAGATGCAGCAAATGAAGCAACCCGGATGCCAAGAGGCATTCGGACCTAGACGTGTGGCAAACACAGCTATGTCACCGGTAGAAATCAATTCGTCACACTGAAATTGAATACATAAATGAAAAAAAAAAATTTTTTATAAATGGGTGAAATATAGAAAGTGGGCAAATACGAGTAAATATTTATGAAACATTAGATAAAATGAAAAACTTTTTTTTTTATTTACATCTGTTAACATATTAAGTGTTTATTAAAAAATTTATATATTTGATACTGTAGGTATACGAGTATACATATGTACGTATGTATTTTTTATTTACTTAAACTTATAATTTTCTAAAAGGACACATTGTAAACAGTCGTTGCTTGAAATAATCAGCTCTTTTCCGTTGAGTACCAGCCCAATTGCTCCATTTGGTGAATACCCCTATTATTTACTTAACTAGTAATTCTGTACCATTTGCTACGCTTAACTAAATCATTCGGCTTTAAGTTACGCAACAAATGCTTGACAAATCTTAACTTGTGCTTGCACTACAACACAACTAGCAAATACAACGCAAATCGCATTAAGGTGTACTTACTTGAGTTTGCTTATGCGATTCCAAAGAAGTTCTCCTTTATTTATGCACGTAAGTATTTATTTGCCTGTGAGTGTCATTGAGTTAAGTTTCTTGTTTACTTAGTGTGGCTTTAACACGTTTTGTCGCCTCCTAAGTGACAGTGACAAGGCATTGCAGCCTTGTCCTGTGTCAATGCCAATGTCACTGACAGTCAATTTGACAGTTGCTGGAGATACATACTACGTAAATTTTCAATGAAGAGTGATTCAGAGCCATATTCTTGTGCGAAAATGTACAAATGTAAGTACTAACGCACTCAAATAGCGAGTGCATTGTCTTATTGAATTTGGCTAATTGCATTTGGAATGATGATGTCAAAGGCACACATGTATGTATGCATAGGTATGCTAGTATTCACAGATGCATATGATTGTACTTACATACGCGTTACTAAACCTCCGGCTGCGCGCAATTTACCATTTTTCAGATTCAGATTTTTACAATTTTTAAAGGGAATCACCTAATATAAGCCAAAGAGAAATGACATAGAGAAAACTTTTTGAAAGTACGATCGGAGATTTAATTAAAAACGAATCTTTTCCAAATTGTGTTTCGTTAATTTCTGGCAAAATAAAGGTCGGTACTTCTGATCAAGATGCATCAACTTCTTACAAGTGTTACTGTAAGTTCAGTTTAATATATTGCAAGCAGTTTGATAAAAAATAGGAAAAGGATTTGAAAATATCCAAGCGAAAATCCGTGAATCATATCATCCCCAAATGCATTTTTCAGTTATTTAATTAAAAAAAAAAAAAAATTATTATCCAAACTCATATAAACGTAATGCCCTAATATTGCCTTAATTGGCGTGCCCAATTTCAGAAAGCAGAGCTCTGTAGGAACTGTATTTTTTTTGTTTAGAAATATCCACAATCTTAAGTGGTAAGACGTACGTGGCCGCAGATATACATGAGCGACACGGTGGTTCTAGCATGTTTTTTCCAAGACCGCTATTTTTTGCCAACAGAAGTCGGCGTTGTCTCGGAAGACAATCTGGGCATCACGCTTGATGCTAAACTCTCATGGAAGGAACACGTTGATGTGCCGACATCCGGTAAGCAAACGTCTTGTAGGAAAATATATGTATATTATGATAGTCAAGCCTATGATATCCTATGGGGCGGTGGGCTGGGGCTCGATAGCCAACCTAGCGACTGTAAGGCGCTCACTCACAAAACCTGCCCAACAGCAGCATTTTTAGGTTGCTTTCGATCTAATGCCACTGTATATAAGCATAGAACAGGGAGCCAAACGATCCCTAATTAATTTCAATAAAGAGGGTTTTGGTAGAGAAAAGGGTATCATCTCGAAATAAGGAACCTTCCAGGGCCCAACTCCCACGAGATGATATCTACAGAATCATTAGTTTAGATAGAAATTTCAAAGTAGAGCTAGGAAATAATGCAAATTGGAATATAAAACAAGTAAGAAAGTCTAAGTTCGGGCGGAGCCGAACATGAAATACCTGGCGCAAATATTAAATATATGATTTTCACCTTTCCGAAAGCTACCGCTACATGGTAAGTCGGGGTGTATCAATTTTGAGTAAATTAGCGTCCTTAAATTTCAAAATATTGACTTTTCAAGCATTTCTAAAATTTACCGTTATATGAAAAGCCATAGTTTTAGTCCGATTTCAATAATTTTCATCGTTTTGCTTTTATGTAGCAAGCACAATAAAAATACCGAGTTTGGTACAAATTGGTNAAAAATTGGTTTTAATATTTACTGATTTATCGAAGATTTCGTATTTCCCCAAATTACTCTTATATGAGATGTGGGCGTGGTTATTGTCCGATTTTAAAAATTTTCGGC